AGACAGTGACAGACATACACTCACTCACTGACAGACACACACACACACACTCACTGACATACATACTCACACAGACACTGACAGACAGATATACACTCACTCAGTGACAGACAGACACACACAGTCACTGACACACACATTCACTGAAAGACATATACTCACTCACTGAGAGACACACACTCACTGACAGACATATACTCACTCACTGAGAGACAGACACACACAGACAGACACTCAGTGACAGACATACACTCACTGACAGACACACAGACACTCACTGACAGACACAGACACTGACTGACACACACACACACACACACACACAGGCAGACACTCAGTGACAAACACTTAAACACTCACCTCCCTAGGATTCAGTGTGGGGCAGCTCCTCACTCCTCCCGCCCGCCCTTTAGTATGCCGGGGCTGGAATGATGTCATATTCCGGCTCACGGCATCATAGAGGGTGTGTGAGGGAGGAGTGAGAGGTTGCAAGAACAGCCTTCCTCGCCGCCTTCTCCTTCCCCCCTCTCCTCCGGTCACCGGGATTTGATGGCAGAGCAGGCACCTGTCATCAAGGTAAGAAGGTGCCTACTCTGCCATACTGTGACAGGGCTCTTCTGGGTGCCCCCACCTTCGGGTGCCTGGAGGAGCGGCCCAGTGCTGTGCGGGGGGCGGCTCTAGAGCCGCACGCCCAGCGCTGCGGCCCAACAAGGAGATTTCCCGGTGGGCGCCCCCAGCAGGCCCTGTCTGTGTGTGTGCCTGCTAGTGAGTGAGCTTGTCTGTGTGTGTGTCTGCTAGTGAGAGAGCTTGTGTGTGTGTGTGTGTGCCTGCTAGTGAGAGAGCTTGTGTGTGTGTGTGTGTGTGCCTTCTAGTGAGAGAGCTTGTGTGTGTGTGTGTGTGTGTGCGTCTGCTAGTGAGTGAGCTTGTTTGTGTGTATGTGTCTGCTAGTGAGAGAGCTTGTGTGTGTGCCTGCTAGTGAGTGAGCTTGTGTGTGTGTGTGCATTCTAGTGAGTGAGCTTGTGTGTGTGTGTGTGTGAGCTTGTCTGTAGTAAGCTTGTGTGTGTCAGAGCTTGTTTGTAGTAAACTTGTGCGTGTCAGAGTTGTCTGTACTACATTTGTGTGTGTATGCCAATAAGCTTGTCTGTGCATGTCAGTGACATTGTCTGTCAGTGAGCCTATTTGTGTGCATCTGTAAACTTGTGTATTTATTTCAATGAGCTTATATATCAGTGAGATTGTTTGTCTATGACGCTGTGTATCAATGAGCTTGCGTATGTCAGTGAGATTGTCTGTGTCTGCATGTGAGTAGGCTTACTGTATAATTAAATGTTTTACTTTGAAAGGAATATTTTATATTAGAAAAAACAAATATATATATTGATCAATAATATGTAAGGGGCTATGTCTTGCCACCCCAGATGATTGAGTCATATATAAATACATATTATATATGTATATATGGGTATATATATAGGGTAAGAATTGTCTGACTTATTTTTCTGAATCTGTTTTCGTTAACGAATTTTGGTTGAGCCAAACCACTGTATGGCTGATATTCGCCCATCTCAAGAAAATATTTTGAAGCACTGTGGTTCAGTCAAAGTTTATTTCGCCTTGAGTCTATATATGTGCAAATACACTTAAAGCAGCAATGCTTTTGTTTTTAAAATAAATATGTTTGTCCTTATAGTCTTTGTGCTTCTCAGATGTCCATATATATATATATATATATGAATGGGCAATAAAAGACAGAAAAACTAATAGTGTAATATGTTCATTTTATTGAAAAAAGCTCTACACTTTGCATGTTGTCTACTACAGCAAAGTTGCTCTGTTACTATAATCATTAGTTGTTCTGAAGGAACAGTGGGTCCAAATATCTATCTGGTCAATCAAGATAACTTTTTGTTGTCAGGGTAGACTTGCACATGGGGGAACTAATGTAATGAATAACTTTGTAACCAGTTATTTCCTTTGTGTTCTATTTGCCCAGTTATGTATTCCCATTGGTGCAAATATATATACAATATATTTTAATGTTTGCTGTGATTGATATATGCTTGCTGTTTCTACAAAACTTTCTTTTGAGTTGCCAAAAAGTAGCTTGCGTGTCTCCTCCTTGAGGTCTCACAAGTATATTGCTATTCTTTGTCCTCTATAGAGTAATTACTAATAAGAGTATTGCCAGTGAACTACAAAGATATAATATCCTATAGTAACCAGATACCAGTGCAGTATATCCTGCATTGCCAGTGGATAGGCTACCAAAGCTGAGTCCTAGTATTTAGTGGAGCAGTTAGTGGTGCAGATTAGGTAAAAGAAACTCACTGATGATGCCTGAACTAGTACACCTTCAGTGCCAAAGACACCCAGGCTATATCGTCACAGTCTGAATTTCTAAACTCTAAGCCAACAAAATTATCCGTTGATGACCCTGTTCATTTTTGTGGCACCATGATTGTTGGGGAAAAAAGATAATTGATGGCAAGAGGACAGTCACGTAAAGTTGATTTCATTCACAGATCATGTAAGAAGTGACTAGAAGAGGGAAAAAAGGATGAGCAGTAAAATAGAATCTATATTTATATATGATATTTTTAATAAATATATAATATATACATATTTATTTCTTCACTTCTACTCCTCTTTTTCCCTCTTGGTCTGTGAATCCAATGGCAGGAAAAATGCATATATTTTGCAGTGCATTGATTGCTCTGCTTTCACACCCTTTTTTGCATTGTCTGACTCATTTTGGCATTGACAATAGGGAAACCTGACATGTTTGTCTCTTTTTGCTCCTTTAAATAAACTGTATCTATCACTGCCTTGATTTCTTTGTCTGTACATATATTTGAACCTGCTTTAAGCAACAAGGTGCAGGGTTAGCAGCACAGAGTTAATTGTTTTTTTAATTTAGATTTTTGGGTACTGCAGTAACTTTTCTTCTATCTTTATGTGACCACATTACTGCTTCTCACCAGGGCCAGACTGGCCCACCGGGATCCCGGGAAATTTCCCGGTGGGCCTCGGCACCTGGGGCCGGTCTGACAGCCCTGATCATCATAAGTCATTTTATTTAAATAATTTTCCCCTTGGACTGTGCCAGGTTTGTGTCAGTCCGAGGGGAGTAAAGAGGGACTAGCTGGGGGCTGGTACGGCCACAAGGAGGCTGCCCGCAACCGGAGGAAGTCTCCCAGCACAATTTACCTTAATTTCAGCCACATGCCCACCCTCTGCACACAAGCCCCGCCTCCTGAACAAAGCTCCGCCTCCCTCTCATAAGCCCCGCCCCCCACACACGTTGCTCGCTGGAAGGAAGAGATAAATATGTTTGTCCTTATAGTCTTTGTGCTTCTCAGATGTCCATATATATATATATATATATATGAATGGGCAATAAAAGACAGAAAAACTAATAGTGTAATATGTTCATTTTATTGAAAAATATTATAAAATAATGAAGATAAACTCACATTTGATAGAGCTTAAACCAACTCTAGCATGTACAGCGTACAATCCCCACTTATAGGATATGGTGTCAGTGTTCTTGAGGGTGATGATATCAGGAACCCAGAAAAAGATTTTTTTTAAAAAGGCAACGATGACAACAGCATCGGTGGTATGATCCCCACCTTTGGAGTAGACATGGTTTGATGCCAGGTAGTATATAGAAGGTCAATATAAAAAGATATAAAAACACAATGGCACAGATAACAAACGTAGTGACGAAAACCTATTTTTAAAATTTAAAATAAAAATGAAATACATCCAAACGCTGTTTCACCAATAGGCTTTATCAATGGAGTAAAAACATACAACCTGGCTTCTTAGGATTTATATAGGAGTAAAATAAATTAAAATTGGTGCCAAAATTCCATCTTCCAATCACAAATAAGTATGTATATACATATAAAAACATTGCAAAACTTATAAATATACAAGCACTTAATACTAAGACATCTTATTTTGAGTGGGGAATTAAATAGTAAAAAATAACATTAAGAGAAAATAAGGTAATAAGAGCATACAAATAGAATATCATTGAAATACACAGAAATATTCAAAGGATATGAAAGCAAATACCTATTAAAAGATCACATAAAATGCATAAGAATATTTTTTAAAATGCAGCATATATAAGACCATACATAAGGGTAAAAAGGGGCACATGGGAAAAAAATACATTATGTGAAATAAAACTGATCAAAGTTTGTATACATAAGAATAAAAATAAGCAGTAGTTAAAAAGAAGGGTACATGGGTTAGAGATATATTATATAAAATTAAACAGGTCAAAGTCTGCATTTAGGCCATTAGGAGTTAGTCTGTAAATTAAATACCCATACAATTTCATATTTTCCAAGGATATTTTTTATGTTTCCCCCTCTCCATGGGGTATTAAATACCGGTATATTTTTTTATGCCGATTCATTTCAATTTTATTAAAGGACACGGAGGCTCCTATTATGCTTCTCTCTTTCTTTTATTCTTCAGCAGCAAAAGAAATATAGTATATATATTCACTGCAAAAAGGAAAAAACACTTCAATAACATACATCATAACTTGCAAGGGTTAACCATATACCACATATGAACCAATCAGAGTGTCCCTATTACAATAAAGTCCCATGTGACCCTAAGCCACTCCTCTTTCTTTTGCTGCTGCAGCCTCAGATAAGTAGCAATTTTTATCCTTCCTCTGTTGCTGTCAGTTGCTAACCTGGTATTTCACTAATTTGCTGTAAATGATTTTCTTTTTTCCCCTCAGGGTTTCTATGTGTATTTGTTGTCTCCTTTAATATCGTGGAGGCTTTGCCCTCTCTCCCTTCCCCTGTCCCCCCTCCCCTCTCCTACCTCCGGTCGGGTTGTTTATTTCCCGACCGTTGTGTGTCTCCTCTCGCCGCCCTCTCCTCTGTGGGGTGTCCTCCCCCCACGCACGGGTACCGCTGCCGGTAGCGGTCCCGGCGACCCGTGGTGTCCGCGGTCGCGGCCGCCCGCGCATGCGCACGACGCAGGTGCGCATCGCGGCGGCCATCTTGAGGAAGGGCAAAATTTGCCGCGCTTTGGATAGCGCGGCCAATACAGTGCTGTGGGGGCGGGAACTGATCCCTGTTGCTGGGCAAACTCTCCCTGTGTTCCCCAGGAGTTTATTCCTGAGGGAACACTCGGTGAGCTTGCTGTAATTGTTGGTTGTTTGCATAAATTTTGTTGTGCCTTGCCCACATTGGTGTCTGGTGCCTGGGAACAGAGCACTAATAATATATATATTGGTAATTTTTACTATTGTAGGGAGTTAGTCAATTTATTCCCTGTGCTATATACCTCAGCCTTTGCCTATATAAATTTCTGCCATCCATCCCAGTTATGCAGGCTGACCACAGTGCCTATAGTGCCACTACATCTAGGGCCACCATGCCCACCCCTCCCCTACAGGGCCCCAAAATGCCCGCTGCGTTGGACACAGCGCAGGAGCATATGGATTCTGAGGAATTGCATTCCCTCTTGGACGCGGCTATGGCGAAGTCTGTGACGCAAGCCATAGTTACGGCCATGGGTGCCATGTCAGAGAATTTATCCCATTCCATAACTACGGCAATGAGAGCCACGCAATTACCTGCTAACCCCATGGCTAACCCCCCAGAGAATAAGCCGGTGGCCCCTAGTGGGCGTAAGGCCGCTAAGAAATCTCGTCATTTGGACGATTATGCCTCCAAAACCCTACAGACGGACAGGGTACGTCCTGTCACAGAACCTGTGGTTGGACCACAACTAAGAGCCCCCCACCGGGCAAAATCGGTGCGGAAATGGAAGAGGGCTAAAGCCCTAATGGAATCCTCCGACTCTGAATCGGAGCTAGAGGAGGCTCAGAGCGAGTCCGACGAGGAGGACTCTGATGATTATGATGTGGACTCTTCGGAGGCTCACTTGCGGGACTATAGCCCCGCCACGGGCACGGATATGGACCATAAGAACGGAGCTGATGACTCAGCTCTGGTTGACCCGCAGGGCGAACCTTTGTTCGACCCGGATACCTTACAGCACCCAAGGTCCTCTGAGTGGTACCCTCTGGACCACGTAGCGAAATATATTTCTGCCCGCATCAGAAAGCCACTAGATAAGGTGGCGCGGAACAAGCTACGGGCAGAGTGTCCCCGCCCCACGGTCCCGGATATGGCATGCGCCACCCCGGAAGTGGACCCAAAAATCGCCCAATTCCTGGGCAAATCTGGCTGGAAGGCCAAGAAGGGCCTGGACTTTGCCTGGCGTAACTGCCAGGATAAGGTATTGGACATCCTTGGCCCGATCGCGAGGATGTTCGATATGGTCGAAATCGCGTTGGCAGGGGGTACACCGCTGGATCTAGAAGCCCTTCGGGGGTGGATCCAATGTGCCGTGTGTCTCCTGGGCAACGCGAACACGGCAGTGGCCACGGAAAGGCGCAAGGCGATTTTAATAAAAATTGAGCCTAAACTAGTTAATCTGGCAATCTCGGAACCAGGTCCCCAGGCTAAGGCCCTCTTATTCGGGGATAACTTTGTAAAGGAACTAGGCACGTATGTGGGCACTTTTACGGCACTGGATAAGGCTCAGGCCAGCATGAAACGAGTGTTCCACCAGAGGGTTTTTGGCGGGGCCGGCAGATATCGGGGCCGTCTGCCCGGCCGCTCGCCCCGGGGCTCGTACCGGGGCTCTCGTGGCTCCGTACAACCTCGTTTCACACCCCCGGAACCCAAGCAAGCCTCACCGTTTTTCCCGGTTCGAAGCAGACCATGGCACGCCCGAGGATCCAGAGGCTCTTCATATGGCCGACGGCCTTATGGTAAGTGCGCTACCTCCTCATATGTCTACATTCACTATGGTGGGGGGCAGACTGGGCCATTTTGCCAAAGCATGGCACATGATCACGGCAGATGCCTGGGTGCTCCACACGGTCCGGGGTTATTCTATAGATTTCGTACAATACCCAGTCCAATTGGAACCCCCTGGCCGAATGATGTTCCCCACACGGGACCGGGAATTGATAACGCAAGAGGTCCAGGCCTTGGCCTCAAAAGGGGCAATTTATACGGTGCCCTCTACCACACCGGGTTTCCTGAGCAACCTATTCTTGGTACCCAAAAAAGGCGGAGGCGTCCGCCCAGTCATCAACCTGAGACCTTTAAACATGTTTGTCGCATACCACCATTTCAAGATGGAAGGTATACACTCCCTACGGGACCTCCTCCTCTCAGGCGACTGGATGGTCAAACTCGATTTGAAAGACGCATATCTCACGGTCCCAATGGCCGACGATTGCCACCGCTTCCTGCAATTCCGCTGGGAAGGGAACGTGTGGCGATTCCAATGCCTACCGTTCGGCCTTTCATCGGCTCCCTGGTGCTTCACAAAGCTCATGAAACCAGTGGTGGCCCTCCTACGCAGCAGAGGCGTACGGCTCATAATATACCTGGACCATATCCTCATCATGGCCCGGGACCCGCTTCTGTTGCGAGAACACCTCTCCTGGACGAGGAACCTGTTGGAGAATCTGGGTTTTCTGATCAACGGGGAGAAGTCGGTCATCGAACCCTCACAGGCTATGGAATTTCTGGGATTCACCATAAACGCAGTGACCGGAACACTCCTACTCCCAACGACCAAGGTCAAGGCCATCAAAAAGGAGCTCAGGAGAATGCTCACACGTCCTGTCCTTACTTTGAGACAGCTGGCCAGGATTGTAGGCCTCCTCTCGGCATCAATTCAAGCCATTTTTCCAGGACCCCTACATTACAGAGCACTTCAACGGTTGAAGGCAAAATACCTTCGTTTGGGGCACTCATACTCCGACTCTGTTCCTCTCGACTGTGCCGCCAAAGAGGAAATCAAATGGTGGCTACAACACATGGAAGCCTGGAATGGCCGCGCCATCTTTGGAACGGCGCCAGACCTCGTAGTCGAATCCGATGCCAGTTTACTCGGTTGGGGTGCGCGCTGCGGACCTTTCTCCACCGGAGGACGATGGTCCAGGGAGGAACAGGGACTTCATATCAATTGCCTCGAACTGCTAGCAGGTTCGTTTGCTTTACGGAGTCTCTTGAACGTGTCGACCAACTGCTCCATCCTGTTACGCATGGACAACGTGTCTGCAGTTCGATATATCAATCACCTCGGGGGCACGAGGTCAGTAATGCTTGCGGAATTGGCGAAGGATTTCTGGCAGTTCTGCCTGGACCGCAACATATCAGTACAAGCGGAACACATTCCGGGAATGAGCAACGTAATAGCGGACTGGAACTCCAGACATCTACGGGATGCCAGCGACTGGCGGCTGAACCCGACCGTTTTCAGCCATTTACACTCACTGTGGGGGCCGCTGGACGTCGACCTGTTCGCGTCACGGCTGAACACGCAGTTGCCGAAGTTTTTCAGCTGGAGGCCAGATCCGGAAGCTCTGGCGGCAGACGCTTTCCGACAACCGTGGCCGCACACCAGGCATTACGCTTTTCCCCCCTTTTCTCTCATCGCACGGACCTTGTTGCACCTCAGACGACACCGGACATCCCTAATCCTCGTAACTCCTTTCTGGACGTCCCAGCCCTGGTTCCCTACACTTCTAGAACTGTCCATAGATCTACCGAGATTGTTGCCGGTACACGACAACATCCTCTTGGATCCCTATGGCAATCCGCACCCTCTTATACTACAGGGACATCTGAAGCTTTTGGCATGGCTCCTTTCAGGGGACTCGAGGACACCCGAAATGTTCCACAAACGACTCTGGACCTCTTGGCAGGAGCTTGGGCCCCGGGCACAAGGAAATCATATTTACATGCCTGGAACGCATGGTATGGTTGGTGCATGGAACAACACGTGGATCCCATATCTGCAACTGTGAGTCACGTCCTGGGTTTCCTTACTTCACTTTTCGACCACGGCCTGGCATATCGTACGATTAATCTCTACAGATCAGCTATCTCAGCAGGCCATGTAGGTTGGAATGGAATTCAAACAGGGAAACACCCGATGGTGTGTCGACTCCTACGAGGCATAAGATTTGCACGACCACCACGACCTCGGTATTCCGAATTATGGGATGTGAACCTCGTTCTTCGACTTTTTGAAAGTTGGCCGCAGAACGGAGATTTGTCGATCAAACAACTCACCGCGAAATTGGCCACTCTGTTCTGCCTCATCTCCTGTAAACGGGTCTCAGATGTACGAGCATTGGACATTCAGGCACGCTCATATACACCGGAAGGGGTGGCCTTTGATATATCGAGGCGTACGAAAACATCCATCACGAAGGTTTTTTACCCCGCTTTTCCACACAACAGTAACTTATGCCCAGTAACCTGCCTTAAGGAGTATGAAGCAAGGACGGCTGCGGTCCGGGACCCTCAATGGGCTGACCTATTCCTGGCCATTCGACAACCGCATCGTCCAGTTTCTACAGTCACCCTATCTCGCTGGGTCAAATGGATCATGACGTCGGCAGGCATTGATACTTCCACATATGGAGCACACTCAGTGAGGGGTGCGATGGCATCGAAAGCGTTTTCATTAGGCTGTAAATTGGAAGATCTTCTCCGAGCTGCCGATTGGTCGAGAGAATCTACATTCCGTGAATTTTATTTCCGTCCGGTTTCCCATTTTTCCACGTCGGTGATCACACAGCTTTGAACTAGCATAATAGGAGCCTCCGTGTCCTTTAATAAAATTACCAGATTTTACTAATTTCATGACGTAAAGTCATGATTTTATAAAGGACACGGAGGCGAGTATTATCCCACCCAATAAAGGTAAGTTGCCCTCCTCTGGGAATGTAATCTATGTTATGGGTCTTGAACTGTGTGATAATGTGTTATTTTATTTTAATTTTTCGTTTGAGTGAATAACAGGAGAATGATATAGTGTTCTAGATAGTTTTGGTTTGAACATGAAAATATTATCCAAGAACACATTTTACCATCTAGTTTCTCTGTCTTACAGCTTCCTAATTGGAGTGCCATAATGGTCCAGGCAGGCCCGCAAGTGGGCGGATGGAGGATGACCAGTTTTCTTCAAGTTTTGTGGTTTTTTGTTCGACGTCATCTTCAACGGAATTCCCTGCTTTATCTACACGACTACTGGTTCTTTTCATTGCGGAATATTGGAGTGTCCATCAGCATCACCAAAAGAAAGAGGAGTGGCTTAGGGTCACATGGGACTTTATTGTAATAGGGACACTCTGATTGGTTCATATGTGGTATATGGTTAACCCTTGCAAGTTATGATGTATGTTATTGAAGTGTTTTTTCCTTTTTGCAGTGAATATATATACTATATTTCTTTTGCTGCTGAAGAATAAAAGAAAGAGAGAAGCATAATACTCGCCTCCGTGTCCTTTATAAAATCATGACTTTACGTCATGAAATTAGTAAAATCTGGTAATTGTCTGGGATCTTTATTATGTGTGATAAAATGTTTGGATACCGAGTGGTTCAGTGTTTTTAGGTGGTTCAGTGGATTTTAGGTAAAAAAAAATCACAAGGATTTTTGGATATTTGATAATTGGTTTCATTTTTGTTTAAAATATTATAATCTGAACCTTAAAAAAAAAAAAAAAAAAAAGAAGATAAAACATTTTGTATTTGAGGTGTGGTTTCTGACAATAATTTTTTGTATACATGAGTGTCATTTAGTTGCCTATTCGCTTCTTCTATATACATTTTTGGGCACCTGTTCTAAAGAAGGATATTATGGCACTAGAAAAAGTGCAGAGGCGGGCTACAAAATTAATAAAAGGAATGGAACATATCGGCTATGAAGAAAGGTTAACAAATTTAAACCTATTTAGTTTAGAAAAACGTCGCCTGAGAGGGGATATGATAACATTATACAAATATATTCGGGGCCAATACAAACCATTGTGTGGAAATCTATTCACAAACCGGACTTTACATAGGACACGAGGCCATGCGTTTAGACTGG